TTCCCACTCTAAACTTCCAAGAGCTTGCAGGCTTCGAAGCGTTAACGCCGCAGAGATGGCTCGTGAGCTATACAACTGTCTGGACATAAATTAAAAGCGAGTGTAAACAGTGAAGAAACAGCCCGAGACAAAATGAACTTAAAGGAAATCAAAACTGTAATTCAAAAGCTCCACTTTATGAACGGGGAGTGGAACCTATCTCTATGACCTTAATTTATTCAAAACAAAAAGTATTGTGCAAAGACTTGCATAGATGAAGAAACTAAGAAAATTTTCAAGAAACACGGCAGTATTACTCATTTATGAACGACTCAAGGTGGGCACTTCACAAAAGACAGTCAAAGATACAACCCTCCACGATGTATTTTGAACCGCTTACCCACCTCATTCGGGCGTTCAGAAGAAGAAACATAGCGGAACGGAGGGACGCCAGAGAGCTACTTACTTTATGAGGAAATTTCAACAACAGTCAACACCTTTACTAACTTCAGTCATAGCCAAAGTAACTTGAAGAAGATATTTGAGAAGATATTAGGCGATGAACTGCCATTACAGTTTAGGAACAAGAATACAAAAAGAAAACCAATGGAGAAAGCAGCTCACCAGCAGCCTTCACCGGTTCCTTTGGAGCTACAGCTGCTTGCTTAGCAAGTTTGTCAGCCTTCTTCTGAGCAGCTGCCTTTTCTGCTTCTAATTGAGTGACACGACTGATCAGCTCTTGGGGGTCGTCGAACTCTAGGAAAGGTTACGATGTTTAGTGGAAAGTCTACATTGCAGTTGTACTGTTAAAATTCATTGAATTTATGATTGTTGTTAACACTCACCATCATCGTCGGACATAAAGCCGAACTTGTTAGCAACGTTACAACCGTATTCAACCATGATTGCTTGATGATATATTTGACAAGCGTCTGCAAGGCTCCTTGATCTCTTCTTTGAAAAAACGTCCAAGTTACAAGCCCATACTAACGGGACCCTAAAAAGTTGACGATTATTTCGCTGTCTCTTTCATCCTATAGTGTGTGATGTGCCGAGAGATCGCCACTGCATAATGGACTGCATAATCCTTATCATTGAATTGACCCAAAGAACATAATTGAAACCAAAAACCGAAAAGGAAAGCTGGAACACGCAGGCGATGCCACACGACAAGATTATCGAGCATTTTTCAATGTCCAACCAGTCGACGCGCACTAGGTCGGTCTCGTACGGAATAGTACAGCACCCGCCACTTTTGAAAGTTTTCTCTCATCAGCTGTTTCTCGGCCCATCGGGATATCTGTCAACCTTCTTTTCCTTCGTTTCTTCCTCTCTTTTCTTCCTTATTTTCCTTCCTTCAAATGATCGGTGAGAAGGTGCGATGCGGAAATAACTGCGGACCATCTGAGAATATCCGATTGACTAGAAATTATATAGTTGCAGAAACGTATTGAAAGAATCTGCGGAAAGCACGGGACGAATTGGTCCGTAAATTCCTTGCCTGGGCAGGGTTGGCGGGTCTGGCGCGTCGAGTTATTTTCTTCGTCGATTCTCCAAAATGGAGTTGTATTCAAGCAACATGGATTTGTATTCAAGCAACCATCGCCGCCAAAGTGGGTCCCCTAGTTCGTCAGCATGTGGACGGGGGCACGCGATAGTGTTCATGCTGAACCCGCCTTCTGGGAAGGTACCTCCCCATTCCAGCTTTCATTTCACTGTTTATCAGTCGTGTCGCATTTAGTCCTGTATATGTCTGTGAACTAGTTTTTTTCAACCCATTTCGTTGTAGGAAAGAAGTTAAGTGGTTTTACATTTTCTCTCGTTTTATCCTATTTCTCAACTCCTTCCCCTATGTAGTCCATGTCCTCATGTCGTCAACCCTGTCGCACTGACGAGCCCGGGGGTTGGTAAGACAACGATGATTCGTCTGCGATAACGGGCGAAACGGATCATCTGTGCTTTGGAGTGTATTCTTTTCCCTATTTTGTTTTTCTTTGTTTCTATTATTTTCATGTTTAAGAGTTCGATTAGCTCATGGAATATGAAAGGGTTTCTGAGCTTCATTGTACTGCAAGTCTTCTGTTTTTCTTTGATTCATAAATGAAACTCTTCCAAGTCGTTTATCTCTTGACTACGTTTCGGGCCTTAAGCCCTTCTTCAGGTCTACAAAACATCATATATGTTCACATAGCCTACACCAACATCAATCCACTATTAGACATACACGCAGAATATTCGAAGAGGGGAACAATCATTTAACAACTGACCGACTTCCTACGGGAAGGAGGGCCTGGGCTGGAGCGGGTTCGGGGTGGAGTGTGTCGAGATGTCACGTATCACCTCGATGTGACATCACTGGTGATACGTGACATATGACAAATAGCGGGGTATCCACTATTACCATCTTACCACTGCTTCGCCAATCTAGCTGTCTCATTTCTATTGGAAAGGACAGCTGGGGAGGTAAGTCAATGTCGCGTATCTCTGGTTTTCGTCCATCATTGAACCATCTTGCAGCAATCCCGACCCACTCCATCCCGGACCCGCTCCAGCCCAGGCCCTCCTTCCCGTAGGAAGTCGGTCAGTTGTTAAATGATTGTTCCCTCTTCGAATATTCTGCGATGTATGTCTAATAGTGGATTGATGTTGGTGTAGGCTAGGTGAACATGTTTTGTAGACCTGGAAAAGGGCTTAAGGCCCGAAAAGTAGTCAAGAGGTAAACGACTTGGAAGAGCTTCATTTATAAATCAAAGAAAACAGAAGCTCGATTAGCATTCAAGTTTCCCATGGAAATGCAGAAATGTACCAATCTGACCATCCCACCGTTGTGTTGGTTGCGTGAAAGACAAAACCGAGGTTTCGTCGTTGAGTATCGGAGATGAAACTGTTATTTTAACCGGCGATCCTCTTCCTGCGTGTTGAGTGAGTATAAATTAAAATGAATTGCAAATTTTCGATTCTACAACATCTATCCACCCGCGTTCTTTGTTCACTGCCTGCCGTTTTGATGTGTCTCGGAACCGACTCATGAACTTTTGCGGCATCTCACTCATTGCGGGTGTCTCCTGCTCATTTCGTCTGGCAAAACGTTGCCGATCTCCACTCCTACTATTTACTGAGTTGCTCCTGATGCCTTTTGCAATTTTTTTCTCCAAGGCACCGCCCACTTCGGCGCACGCTCCGCCCATTGTGAGGCGGAGCTCAGCTCACCTTGTATGTGCCCTAAAGTTGCTGACCCATGCACCATTCATCCCATGAATCATCTCATGAACCATTGCCTAACAGTGATTTTTTGCGTAGTCAATTTTCGAGCGGACACCAGGGTTAAGCATCACGTCGCGGAAAATTGGAGGGGGGGGGTTGTACGGTTGCACGCCCCCCTTCTAGACAGGGGTATCCGTACGACCTCCAACCTAGTGAATGTGGAGGGTGTGGAGTATCTGCGTTTTCGGCAGAATGTAGCTGTATATGTTGAGTGTTATGCGAATGTTACCGAATGAGTAACTGCGTACCTAGGAACATTTACCAGACCAGCCGAGCAAAAACACTGAAAATTGAAGAGATTAGTTCCCAAGAAATAGTGTAATGCACATAGTGGATTTTTGAAAAACCTGACAACGACGGCGTCCAAAAGAAACAGCAAATTCGAGAAATCGGGAGCATTGTGGCTGCACGCGTATTGAGATTAGAGTGCTACCGGCTCATTGCATTCAAATAATATTCAAAAAAAATTATATTTTATATTTTTACGTTTTTATTTGTTTTTCTTTATTTTTTATATTTTTAAAAGGGTATAACTTCATAGGGAAACCATCTTTCGGTAAGAACGATTCAAGTTGTATGGCCATGTTCTATACGAAATACACTACAGGTTTCATCAAGATTGCATGACGGCTTCTGGCCAGAAAATAACGCGGAGAATTCTAGGCCAATGCAGGTTGTTCGCCTTTCAATGGAAATACCTCCGTTCAGGCACAACATAGAACGGAGCCCACACAGCATTGGAAACTAAAAGATTTTCTCTTTTGAATGGGTACGACAGCTTTGCTGTAGCTCAATTTTGGCGAAAATTCGCCCGTCGTGAGATCGCAAAAATAACGCGGAGAATTTTTGGCGAACGCGAGTTTTTTACCTTTCAGTGGCCGTAATGTCGTTAGGACGTACTGCGGAATAGAGATCTACAAAGCATTTGAAAGTAGGTTCCCTCTTTCTAATGAGCATATCGCTTTTGCTGTAGCTGAACTATTGTGGAAATTCGCCCGTTTTCCGTTTGAAAGTCAGCTTTATCTGCAGCATGAGGATCTCTCCCTCTGCAAAGCTCACATTTCCATCTTAAAGCTCGATAGGTATCCCGTACAACACGCCCCAGTGTGATGAATAGGGACTGCAGTACAGCAGGCGCGATCAACACTTTCATGAAATGCGCTATGTTCTTGGTTTCCTTTCCGAACGCATCATCCATCCTGTAGGCTACGCGCTACTGCATTCAGTACTGATCTCGGGTATCAGAAACAACCTCCTCTCTCCGAGGGGGTAAAGATGACCCCCTGTCGCGGATTCCGCGATGTATACTTGGCCCTGGTGGACACAGACAGCTTCTGGTTTGTATACAGAGAGGTACCATTTTTTTGTAACCACTATTCAACGCATTCTAAGAGCCTAGACTTTTTTGGAGGCTCACTGAACATGGGACTTTGGACAGGTTTTCAAAGCAATCTGCTTCTTTATTAGGTTGTCCGGAAAGTTCTCAGCGTTTTGAGTGTTTCACTTTAAACGATCATAACTTTCTTAATACTCATCGGATTTAATCGAAATAAGCACCGTTCGAATCAGCACACTTTTGCCAATGTGACACCAGTCGAGAAATCCCATCAAAAACTGGGTGGTCGAGAATCCACGAAATCCACGAAGGCTTTTTTGCCTGGTCCTGATTGATGAAGTATTTTCCAGCAAGGAAGTTCTGAAAATGTTTGAAAAGGTGATAGTCGGTTGGTGAAAGGTCTGGAGAATATGGCGGGTGAGGTAGAACTTCAACCCCAATTCGTTCAATTTATGGATAGTGATTTGTGAAACGTGTGGGCGGGCGTTGTCATGCAAAAGAATCGGACCCTTTCTGTTGACAAGTGCTGGCTGCAGCTGACGCAATTTTCGGTACATTTCGTCGATTTCTTCAGTAGGACTCTGCTGTGATGGTTTGGCCTGGTGACAAAAAGTTATAGTGGATCACACCAGCCACACAGGACCATGACCACCACACTTTGACCATAATCTTTTTTTTCGTTGGAGATTTGATTTTTAGAAATTTGCCTCGGTAGGTATCGGTGGCAGCAACAGCTGTCCGGGAACGTCTCGGCGTGCTATCATGCATTGATCTCCTCTTCATCACACGTGACAATTTGGTCCAAAAGCGGGTCGTTTCTGTTGTGCAAAAGCAGTGAAGAAGAAGAGACGTGCCAATTTCTGCCGGTCACTCAAATTGTGGGGCACCCACTTGTCGAGTTTTTTCACCTTCCCAATGCGTTTCAGACCATCTGCAACACTGGATTTGCCAACGCCTAGCTTTTCTGCAATCTCTCGAACTGTTTGGGATGGGTCAGCCTCCACAAATGCCTTCAAATCTTCGTCAGGTATTGCTTTAGGTCGACCGCTACGAGGTTCATCTTCAAGGCTGAAATCTCCAGAACGAAATTTGTCGAACCATTGTCGCACGGCTCCAACACTAGTTTTGGGGGCGGGCCCCAACACCTGTCGAATTTTCGAGCCGTGTCTCGAACCTGGCGGATTGACCCAAGTTTGTAGTTGATAGAACAAAATCGTCCGAGTATTGCTCTTTTGACTGCTTGCAAAAACTCTGAAAAATGGGGGGTCAACCACAGCAATGGCTGAAACAGGCTCGCGGGAAA